CTCTTATAGGGCGTTTATAGAGACTATTATAAGCTCTTTAATAGGTTATAGGTCTTATAAGAAATTAGGATAAGTTTATTTAAGTATAGTAAATAGCCTTTTATAAGTATAATAGTCCTATATATCTTATAATATCCTAAATATCCCAGCCTATAGTGCTAGAGCTCTATATTAGTCTTCTACTATATAGTAAATATAACTATATTACCTATAAGCTTCTTATAAGCTATAATATTAAAGCTAAAACCTCTCTTTAGTATATCTAGTTATATAAGGACCTTCCTATTTAGTTTAATAACGTTATTACTATAGAGATAACCTCCTCTAAGGTATAGTTTCTCTCTATTAAATATATTTCTTAAGAAGTTTACTATATATAGTATATTATATAGCTAGATCCTTAATTTATTTAAGAACGTTAATATAATTTTATTAATATACTCTAGATAGACTAAGCTTATATTAGTTATAATAGGCTATATAGCTATAACTAGAGTATACTTATTATACTATATAAGGTTATTAATTATATAGATATTTACTCTTAAATCCTATAGTTAGACTTTATTAAAAGACTTTACTATTTATAAGACTTTCTCTTTCTATACTACTATAACGTTATATTATTCTATATAGTATATAAAGTCCTCCTAAAAAGCGTAGAGATCTTATAGATTAATATATATTAAGTAGGACTATAGTAGTTTATTTACTAGCTTTTTAGCTAGCTTCTCTACTAGCTTCTCTAGCTGCCTTATAAATCTATTCTATTATATTAATACTACTTTATTATTACGCTTCTATAACTAATAGTTATATATAATATAGCCTAGCTTCTTATACTTATAATAAGTATATATATCCTTCTATATAGCTAATAGCGCCCTTACTATAGCACCTATAGTCTCTTAAGTAACTAAAGCCTTCTTAATATATAGGTATAACTTATCTAAAAGGTCTATTTATAACTTATTAAGTATTAATATAGTTCCTCTATAATATAAAGATCTTATCTATATAGCTTAGTCTTAATACTAAGCGTTAACTCCATATAGAAATAAGTATATAAGGTCTTTATTACTAAGTAACCCTCCTATATACTTATAATAGTATATTAGTTTATTAAACTTTACTATATAGCTTATAGGCTTTAATCCCTTAAGTATATAAGTATATAGCTAATCTCTAATCTAGCCTTATAATATAATACTAGAGCTAGTATAGGCTTAAGTAAGTATATCTTAGATTTTTAATCCTTTATTAATATAAGCTACTAGTAATATTAGTATAGTTAAGATATAGTTCTAAATCTTATTACTAATATATAAGTTATTTATATAGTTAATAGAGTCTCTTATACTTAACCTATAGATCTTAAGTACGTTATAGACTTATATAGACTATATAAGCTAGTTTAAACTACTCTATAAAAAGTACTCCTTTAGTATCTTTATTTTAAAGTCCTTAAAGTAATTATTAGCTATATCTTATAAGCTAACTATATTATTACTATTATTACTAAATAGTAGAGTATCTCTTATACTAACGTCTATAATAACTAGTAAAGCTAGAGCTATAGAGCTAAATATAGTTCTAAAGTAGGTTATACCTAATAGTAGAGCTATAACCTCTTATAGGACTACCTAGAGTAATCTAAAGTCTATAAAACTATCACTAATACTTATTAATATAGTAGATATATCCTTCTATTAGCTAAGCGTTATAATCTTATTATTTTATACTTAAATTATTATCTTAAGCGCTATAAACCTTCTTAAAAGCTGTTCTAATTAGGTACTACTAACTTTATTACTCTTATACCCCTCTAAGTAAGAGCTATCTAGTAAAGATATCTCTAAAGTAATTAATATATATCTTAAGTATATTTAATAGGTAGAGTAAAAGATCTATTACGCTCTCTTATAATAGACTATTATAAATAAGCTTTATAGTATAAGTTATATTACTATATAATAATATAAGGATCTTCTACTAAAAGTAGAGATAATATAATAAGCCTTATATCTCTATTCTAAAAGCTTATATAGGTGCTAAATAATCCCTCTATATATTAATCTTTTATCTCTAATATATTCATACCTATATAACTAGATATCTAGTATCTAGCTTTATATTATATAGCTAAGTAACTATAGCTTATATCTATATTAGTTATCTCCTCACGCTCTCTATTACAGTATGTACCTAGCCCGTGCGAGAGATCTCAGATCTACGTGCTCGCTGGAGCGGCCCGGCCCGGACCGCCGTCAGGGGTGTCAGCATTCCCGCCCAGAGTAGTTCTCCTCTTCTTTTTCTTTTGCAATACGCCTAGTTAGACACAAAAAAAAGTATGGTTAAAAAATGCATTTGAAAAGAACCATCTGTAAAGATGCGTTTGAAAAGCGGCGCCCGAAAGGTTGCGACTAGGAAAAGCTGCATTGAACGAACACTGGCATCTTCGGACGTTTTTGGTACATTCAAAAAGGCGCAATGCGCATCCGAAAGGTGCATCCAAACCATCACTCCAGACGAATCTTGAAACGAATATTCATATGAACGCATAGGTATTTGAAAGCATCTTAAGATTTGTCTCCTGACGTATCTTCATAAGGCCGCAGGACCGCGTCTGCTAAATTCTGACGGTTCAAATGAGCCTGGCGCCCCCGGCAGCGCGGGGCGTGGCAGGTGGCCAGTCCAAGGCGGTCGGAAACGGCATTGAGCGTAGTCACGTGAGGCGCCTCGAGATATCGCCCAACCCCCCACCCCCCCAGAGTGCATCTCGTGAGGCCCTCGCTCAACTTAGCTATCTACACGCATTATGAATATATCTACAGTTACCGTAACTACGAACGCGTCAGCCTTTATCTCCCTGTGATACCAACAGATTCATCATGGTAAATGGGTCTCGTTTTGGTGAGATGTAAATTTACATCTCACCAAAACATGTCACAGGTGGCCCCACCTGCCAGCCAGGCATAGCATATCCGATCATCAAATGAACTGCAGGATGAAATACTGCCCTCGCCGCTGCATTCGCACAGCCTCGGCAGATTCGTTCAAGGCCAATGTCGCGATGGCTCCCTTAAATTCGTGCGCGAAGGGCGTGAATCAGGACAAGTCGCCCAGCAGAATAACTCGTGGAGTCTTAGCAGCTCGATGTGCTTCTTGATGTCCTGTGAGCGATATGTACCGATAGCGATGGTGCCCCCAGGTCACGCACGGAATGGTTGAGAAAATATCGAAGTCGTTGCGAGAGGCCGTATGTCAGGAACCGACCTGGGGGTCCTTGACTAGGCCCTTAGTCATGCCGCTCGTAAGAGGTATTCAGCCCAGGATGGCTGGGGTCCCATAGGAAGAGTCAGATTCGAATGTATCCCCAACAGCACAGCACCCATACGTTTGGCCCCCTGAATACGCCCATCACTTAGGACCATCCAACTATTCCTGACACCGTAACAAATAAATAATTCAGATCAGTGGGACGCCATCGCAACCGTCTGCAGGAGGGAAGGTGGCTGTATCGCAAAAGCGTCGGACAACTCACATGCCGCCCCGATCAGTGCCCCCGTCTACGCGAAAGAGGAAAAAAATGCCAAAAGCGGCACGAAATTTGAAAATTCGAAGTGAAGCAGGCCACGGCCGAGAGATCCAGGAGAGAGGACTAGGGAGCAAGTGTAAACGATCTTGACGATCAAAGTCCAGTGGGCAGTGAGGCAGTAGGCAGGTGGCTGTCGGCGATGCTAGGGCGGAGATCCCCTGAGATAAGACTTCGACCTGCATAAGACTTCGACTTGCATAACGTTTTCGACCTGCACAAAGACTTCGACTTGCATAACAACTTTAACCTGCACAAAAACTTCAACCTGCACATGGAATGAGATTCGACTGAACTAGCAGTGGTGTTGAACTTCAGTATTGTAGATGTCGACGGAGGTTTGACAGAAGGCTTTCAACGCCCCTGACCGCTCATCACCATAGTCGAGCAGACGATGTACGCCTTCGGTGGGCTGCTGGCATCAAATGAACAGCCTCGACTGAGTTAAGAAACTCACAAAGAAGAAGCATCGTTCGCGGAACTACTTGACTGTGGAAAAGGCTCGATGCCAGGTTGATAATCATGGGCGATGAATGAAGCAGACGGCACAAACAGTTCGACAGTCGTGTTCCTCTTCCACCCACGCAGCTTCACGCTGGGACCTTCTACTTGACCACCACGGGAGGAACAATCTTGAGGTTTGGAATACCTTGCCTTACTCTTTCGGGGTGACCTCTCTTGCTGTGATGAATCCGAAGGCGACCATCTTCTCCATGACGTCGGATTCAACCTGCGTGGCCCGGGAAAAACAGGCCCTCAATCCCACTTATCCAAGGACACCAGCAGATGGAAGTGGCAAGGACGAACACAGCGGGGTCCCATACTCAACTGTAACACACCTCACAGAGAGAAGAAGTGGACGCAAAGAGAAAGACCTCTGATGAAAGAAGAAGAAGACTAACGAGACTCAGGCTTGAATAATCTGCGCTTCCCCTCGCAACCGACGCGGCGACGCCCTCTTCTACCTTGGTAAAGATGAGATATACTCCGATAACAGCTCTTCAACCAACTTGAACAGGCATGCCCAAGGTACTTTGACCTTCAAGAATCAAACACAGGCGCAGCAGTGCCACGCCAAGCCACCCTCCAGCACCTCCAGCACGTCTTCTGACTTCATTCATCTAGGGTTGTTGTTGTTGTTGTATTTAACGCCATTGCGGCAGGGATAGTACCTTTGCAGCAGACCTCCCTCGGGGTATATGGCGTGGAGAGCCGCAGGCTCAGTCTATACACTGCTAAATACATTGCCTTCTCCCGCGTCCTCCAAGTCTTACTTAGTGGCTATTATACGTTCAATCTATCCCCGGAGCCCGCTGGGTCATCTAGGTCTATTCCAGTCTGTCTAATCCCGTAACAAAGGATAGGTTATAGGTGGTTATAGCGCAGGCCAGGCCTGGGCATTCATCTAGGGGAGAGCCAAAGGATCAAGTGTGTCGCGAGTCAAAAATGTGAGGCCCGCGAGATTCTGAACCATCGAGCGGCGGTCGCTAGCGTCATTGAGGTCGAGCCAGCACGTGGAGCTGATGTCCATGAATTTCTCGAAAAGCGCCGTCTCGTCTGTTGTATGGGCACGCAGCTCCGTAAGATAGTCATTGGTGATAGAAATCTCGATAAAGCGTGCAAAAAGACGGGCAGCTGAGATGATTATGATCCTGTAAGGTGTTAGCCAGATGTATTCCGGGTCCCAGTGCTTTGAGATATACCGATCCGGGTGTCCAATCCAAACACCTTTTGCTTGAAGCCTTACCGCAAGCGCCTCGCCAACCAGCTGTCCAAGCCGCGCGTCGGACATGGGCAACTTTCCCTCGACCGGCCTGTCGGCGACCCTCTTGGCTTCAAGAAGTGCAACTCGGCCCACGCGTTGCCTGTTGTAGTAGGCAGACAAGCCTCCGTCGTCTCGTGACTTGAATGAAACATCGCCAAGTGCGACGGAATAAGAGGCCGGCGCATCGTCAAAGACAACGACGGGGTTTGGAGTGGGCTTGGCTTGCGGGGGCAGCCAGGGCAGGGTATGCCGGATGAATGCTGAAATGAAAAGGACCGTCAGGTCCTCGGGAAAATAAGCGACCATCGCCGATGGCCCATGGTCTGGGACGAAAACGTCGGTCTGAGACGACGGGGGTTCAGGCTGAGGGCTTGAGTTCTCAACTTGCATGGTCCCTGAGGGAGCAGTGTTGGGGATGGTGCGAGTTGCAGCATGGCCGGTAGTACTTCTTGTTGCATGCAATCTTGGAGAAGGACGCTTGCGTTTCCGAGAGCTACTGCGGGCCGGCTGGCGGGGTGTCTGCGGCATCCGAAAGGAATCGTCTTGGTAGCCCGGCCCATCATGGCCCTCTTGGGCCAGACTGCCGCCCTGATGGCGGCTAGCGTTCATCTCGGCCATGGCCTCAAGGATGTTCTCGCCATTGACCTCGTCTCCTGTGTCGTCTCCCATGCCATCTCCCACGTATTCTTTCGCGTCTTCTTCCGTATCGTCTGCCGTGTATTCTTCCTTGTCGTCTCCTGTGTTGTACGCCATGTATTCTTCGGTAGGAAATGCTTGGAGACGGTCCATGGCGGCCCAGACTTGAGCGAAGCGTCCGTCGTCGTCGTCGTCCCACATGCGGTGGTGCTCGAGTAGGGGCTCTGGGGCGTCGGTGGCACGGGTTAGAGGCCCTTTACAGAGCTGGAAGGGTTTGCGTGAGGCTGTTTCGTTGGCGCTGGCGCTGTTCTTCTCTGATTCGAGGGGTTTTGTCCTAGGAGACTCATTCTCAACGCCATTCTTCTCCAACTTAAGCCTGTTCCTCTGAGACTCATTCTCCCTGGCCGACGCCTTACGTTGAGCCATTTCGGTAGGAAATTCCCTGTTGCAAGTGCTCCATGCATGGTCTTCGCAAAGCTCCTTCAGCTGTGAGGCAAACTTGGAGAGGTCTAGCTCGCTCTTGTTGTTGTTGAGTGCGGTTTTGAGGCTCGGCAAAACACGGGCCTGACTCTCGACGACAATCACCCTACACGCCTCTAGCTGCTCGGTGCCCCAGTTGCTCGTACTTTCTCCTTGCAAAGAAGCGATCGTGCCCTTGTTCTTCCTATTGTTGTACGCGGAGGCCGAGGTGGTGGATTCGAAGTAGGTTTTGGGGGCAGCCATGTTGATGCGCGTCGATTGCTACGTCATAAGCAAGAAATAGGACGAGATGGAGACGGAGCTGATGAAGAAAGGAAGTCAGCCGGAATATCAGAGGACAAGGCAGGCAGGACTTAAGAGTTTGGGAGTGGAGGAAAGTCAAGAAAATGAAAAGATCTATACCAGGCCTCAGAACCAACAAGAAGTGTTGTAGCCATATTGCAAGTTGTTGGAAGTTGCTGGAGGCAGCAGGAAGACGATGCGGCTTCGACGGAAGGTGGCATTTGCAAACGATTGCAAAAAGTGCCCATGCCTGGGCTGCCATTGGGAAGGCGGACATCTCCATCAAAGAAACATGACAAGGATGATGCACAAGTTGGAATTATCGTGAAGGCAACTTCCCTGCAGTGAAAGCCAGCACAGATCTTCTAAGCTGAGTCATTCACTCATTGAAGCCACAAAGGGTGTGGACCCCAGCCACATCAATGACCCTTTTGGAATGATGTAACAGCTCCTGGCACTGACCGCGTTGCGCATTTTCCAATTTCCCTTGTTTTGGACACAACACAACCTGCACGACCAAAAACCACCACCCCTACTGCAGGCCACACATGATGCCTCCAACCGTCTCATCACCGTGTCGGATCCCCTCACCACCATTCGAGAAGCCAATTAATAATCCTTCTAGTTCCATCAGGTCCATCCTTCAACGCCATCCTAGAGAGCGTCTCCTTGTGCCGCCGCTGCACTGGACCACCCGACACCTCAATCTTCTTGGGTGTACATTTACCAATATTCAGAATAACGCCCAACTCCCAAACATATCCCAGCCTTCCCCTCCCCAGTCGCCAGGTGCTAGAACCAAGGCGGCTGAAGCAATGCCTCCTTCCTCCCGACTAGAGAGGTTAGCTGCAATACTTTCTCAAGCAACATTTATCCCAGCCAAGGCCTCTATCATCGAAGAAATCTTCAGCTCAACTTCAGCCCCCTTCCAAAAGTCGACTAATCGTGTCTTCTTCCGCTTCGAGCAGCGTAGAATTCCCATGACCTGCACGCTCTTTCGCTGTCCACCATCAGCATCGGCATCGGCATCACCAGCCTCCACACCACCCATCTCCCCGGCATTCCTCTATGTCGACCGCAGCGACATTCGCAGCGACCGCGAGGCATCGCTGGAGCATATCTCCCGCCGGCTTCCGAACGGACGCTCCAGCAAGCCTACCTACCGTCTCTACTCTGCTCGCCTTGCGCAGATCACGCCCGCCGACCCTTCTCGAGAGCCCTACATGGCCGGCCTCCTCATCGCTCTAGCGCAGGCTCAACGCCGCTGTCTACGCCGTGATGCGCCCACGCCAGAGGGCTTCCAGGTGTGTTACAAATCCAACAGTCTCTTCTTTCCTGTGCTGTCTAACTATTTGCCGGGCAGGTCCATGTTCTCGCTAGCCATATCAGGAACCACTCCTCTATTACCGTCTTCTCAGCCGTTATACCCACTGCAACGCTTGACAAACTCTCTCTGCCAAACTGGACACCGCGCGCGGCTTCGAATTTTGGTGTTCGGTGCACTGAAATCCCCTATGAACCATACGCCTCTTTCCAAGAACGATTACTACAAGCAATCACCCCACAAGAGTTGAGAGAACCAACAAGTTCAAAGCGTTCCTGGGAGTCGGACGAGTCGGAGGACGAGACGAGGAAATATGCTCGACCGGAGTAGCCAGGTGCTGGGAGTCGGGCGAGCCGGGGACGAAACGGGGAAATGCGCTCGAAGCGGTACCCCTGTGACGACTGCGGTGCCTCGACTGCTTCTTCGGGGAGTCTTGGTATCGCCAGAATCGTCGCTGCTCACCTGTGCCTCGGTGACGAGGATGGCACCTTGAACAGGCGCGGGAGTCGTCGGATTCTCTTCCTCCGTCTCCCTCAACGTCATGTTCGCCGAGCGCTGGAAGTCGGACGAGTCGGAGGACGAAACCAGAACACATGCCCAGCGGGAGTACCCGAGCGTTTTGGGCGCCAATTCGTGACATGAGGTGCTTATGATGGTCGATCCAGCGAAGTTTCTTGTGGGTTGGGTCGGGTGGGATGATCTGGTTCTCAGAGGAGGGTGTCAGGCATGGTGTTTAATTTGCCGCCGGCGAGCGGATTGCGATACCCCCGCGTTATTTTGTTTTTGAGTTACTTACAAAAGAATTGACTTGGTCGGCACCTTGAATGCCGTCGTCTGAGGCTTTACCCGCTCTCTGTGTCAGTGACGGGGTTAGGAGCGCTTTTCGGTGCTGAGCTCAATGTCGTAGCAGATGACGACGATCTTGCTCTTCATCAAGTTGTTCTTGGAGTTCTCAACAACGTCCCCAAAGTCAGCGTAGTCTAAGCACTTCGACAGGCCCAAGCTAAGCGTACACGACTGGCAGTCTGCCACCGCCAACGTGTCAACGCACCCATGCACCGAGCACTGGGTGAATTGGCGGGTTGTTTCCTTTGCTGACGACGTCATGTAGATCATCTCGTTCTTGTTGACCACGATTGGACCACGAAGCCCTTGGACCACAAAGTCCTTGGACCACATGCTCCGTTCCCTCTCCTTGTCGTTGATGACGGAGGTCCCCAGACTCAATATGTCATTCTGGTCCTTAGACTTCTCCATGACGTAGATCTCGTCATTGTTGTCGAGGTCCTTCTACTGGAAGCAAAGCCGGATGTATGCAAGTCCCGACATGTGCTATGAGACCCGCTACCACGAAGGACAAGATGTCGGGCGAATACGACAGAATGGACGAGAGCATAATCTCCTCCGACACAGAGAGAGACACGTTCATCTCCTTGCGCCGCGTCTCGGCGTTGGCGCTGGATGACCCCGTCGAGTTAAAACACCAGATCACGCAACTGGCCATCGAGAACAGCGAGCTGAGCAACGCGATCAGGAAGTTGGGGAATCTCATGCCTCGGCCCCAGGTCGCGGTTATGGACCCGAGCTCCAAGACGGTGATGACGGTGCCCGGGGCCCCAGCCGCCCGCGAACACTGTAATGATCTCTCCAAGGGCGTCTATGTGACGAGCAGCAAGACTGAGGAGAGCGTTAAAGCGGCCTCCAAGTTCCTAGCTCACTTTTCTTAATGGAACTACGGCTTAGCGAGACGGGCGCCAAGTCTTCTCATATATAACCTGATTCTTAGATGCTCACTGTTATCTATATAAAGAAGGTCTTAAGTATAATTAGATATAGACTTTATGGATTCATTTATTATAATGCTAAACTGAGGCATATAGACTGAGATGAGTAAGCCTCACTAGAGTAAGAGTATATATATTAGGTAGGCTATGACTTAACACCTTTAATGCCATACTAAGATCGTCCTTAACGTTAGTTCCCTAGTAGTTACAGCATGCTGCGATTCTTTATCTTAATAATGAGGTTCTGAAGATAGCATCTCACTATAAGAGAGAGTAACTCACCCTTATGAAATAGAGAGGCTTTTTAAGTCACTATTTTCAAGACCAACCTCACCTTAGGGCTCTCAGATCATTATGTATGGGCGGACTTTAAACTAGCTTAGTTAGTTATTCTTATGATGTGTTCCTGGACTATATAAAATGAATAGAAACTAGCGAACTCGTATTGCTTCACTCGTCTGCTGTATGATTCAAAATGAAATTCGAATGTTCTTTGGAAGAATGATGCCGTGGATTCCATGCTTGTCGATCTGCCTTATCTCTCATACTCCCCTCCAAACATAAATAAATGATGATTTAAGCCGGCGGAGTCTCCCCCCACCTCTGGTCTAAGCAAGCGATTCGTATCTTTGAAGTAGAGTTGGTTGATTTTGAAGAAGATTTTATCTATACTGATTCATCTCTCCTCAGGAAGACAATTTCATGACTGAGATCTCACTCAGATTGGGGAAGGTTAGCTAGAGTCTCATGGTCGAAATGCCTGAGCCTATTGTTTACTTTCATACGCAGTGACGCAAGATCGATCAAAAAAAAATAAGTTACATCCGTGGCTTCAGCTTTAATGTTAATGTTAATCCTACCCATAAGGACACCATACTACTTGACGCTCTGATGGGGTGGTACTTTTCTAAACAAGCCAACTCAGTCAACGCATTTGATAACACTGGATATTGATGAAAATTTGGCCAACGATGGATGGTGGGATGCCTCTCATGGCTGAGCCGGCCTTGACCGTTGTTTCGCGGGGCAGTGAGGAGAATACACGGGGTGACAACGGTTGCAACTAAAGGCTTGGTGGCGATAAATCAGGTGGCCGAAGATAATCATTATCAAAGTCCTAGTTTGTAGGGGGTGCTGTTCATTCATGGCCCGGGAATGAGGGCTAGCGGAGTAGCAGTCTGCAGATGAAGCGGGGGACGGTGCCATGGCAAACGAGACCAGCATTACAACGCGGAATAAGTTCAGTAAGAACACCGGTTAACTGGAGAAGCAGGCCATTGATGTTCGAATGACTGTGAAGTTTCATTTTCATGTGGTTGAGTATTGGCTGTGGGGTAGGCACACCAGGGTGAAGGCAGATGTCGATGAACATCTAGGGTGGTGGTGGTGGTGGTATTGTTTAACGCCATCCTATCCCATAACGGGCAAAAGGCGTCCGCGCCGACAGACTGCTTAGGTACACAACTACAAACTATAGTGCATGTACAGTGTCTCATGGTAAATTCAAATTCAGTTTGACTCCTACATTGTCCAACTTCCATTATCCAAGAGTGAAAGTAGGCCAAAGGTTTGCGCAGAGAGGGGCGGAAAGTTCAGTGGTGTTTGTAGATCGTAGACTCCACAGATGAGCTGGCACCGCTCGTGGAGGCATTGCTTATGTCAAATCGATCGTGATGTGGGACATAGCAACTCAGCACCCGGACGGGGTCAGATAGCCACCGCGTTCAGCGGTAGACTGGGTTGTCGAGCCGAGAAGGAGAGAGGATGTTGGGGTCTTGGACAGATCAGCGTCGTTTGCAGATCTTGTCAGAGACGAGTTTCGGCGCAGGTATGCAATGAACTCCTCCCAGTCTTTTCCAAACTGGTCAGCAATATAGCGCTCGTGGGTGAACCATTAACGCCAATTATGGGTTTTCCTACAGTACAGCGGGTGGGCGGGAGTTTTCTCCTTGCCGCAAGAGCAGTACAGTTGGGCAGTGTCATGTCCCCACGCGCGGTGGTAGTGGGCAAAGTCCCCATGACCTGTTCTGGCGGCGATAAGCCAGTGTAATTCACGCCGGTTCAGCGTACGTAGTTCCTCTGTTGGCGTAAGCTGGGCTTTGAGCTCAAGGTTATCATATCTAGTGTCGCGGGCACTGGCTTGCCACCAGTCCTGAAAGGCCAGCCAGTTGCCGTTGCTCCTTCAGCCGTCGCTTTAGATAGGCGCTGGTCGGGGGGTGAGTAGCTAGATCACCAGGTAGCATTGTGGTGCCCTGTTTGGCCAGTTGATCAGCCGCTTCGTTCCCAGGGATGTCCATATGCCCAGGGGTCCAGCGGACGGTGACGGCGATTTTGGTACGTCTTCTTCTCCGACGGAAGCGTATGGCCGCAGCCTGTGACGAGGCTGGCGGTGCTCCTTCCAGGCATTCAATGACGGCCTGGTTATCTAAACAGACGGTGATAGCCGTCGTGTCAGGTTCTCGTAGGCGGTGTGCCGCGGCCAGTCCCGCTGCCGCTCCCTCTACTTCGGTGTCGAAGACCTCAGCCTTGGTTAGTCTGCGTGAGCCACCTTCTATAAGGGTCTGCCCTCTCTAGATTGCCCAACCGTATCCCGTTGAATCTGGATCTGTCTGGGATCCGTCTGACCACGATATGTGTCGGGGGTAGACCCTCGAACCACGTAGCGTGTGCTGTAGCAGCGAGTTCTTTGCTTATGGCGGGGGGCGCATCTTCTGGGAGAGGCCTCAGGTAGACTCTCTCTAACATCGCAGGGCGGGCAAACTTCGGTATATATGCCGCCGTCCTCGTGAGTAGAGTCGGCCTGATAGCCTTCTGTGGGTGTCGCCGGTCATGCGTTTTATACCTGACGACCAGGGGGTGATTTCTCCGTAGAGAGCCTAGCCGCAGGGCGAGTCGTTCGCGGGCTGCGTCAAGCAGTAGGTGAATAGGTAGCGTGCTAGCCTCCCGCAGTAGGTGTGGGACGCGGGTAGATGGGAGCTACTAGGAATGACTATAAGATATTTTTAGCCCCTATATAAATAGAAGGAGACTACCCACTCTTAAGCGTTAAGTGCCCTAAGTACTATAAGTTATTCTAAGTATAATATTGTAATAAGAAGTATAAAGAGTATATAGCTAATAAATGTAAGCTAAGCTTATACTCTAGAAGATAAAGATAATAGCTAGTACTTTATATCTATTATAATAATAATAATTTACCTATATAGAAACTATAAGGAATTAATAGAATATTCTAACCTATAAGGTATAACTAATAGAGAATACCCTACTAAGGTATTAAGTAGTTAGAATATTATCTTTATATATTAGATTATAAGAATATATATAAGCCTCTTATAGAATAAAAGAACTATAATATAAGTTATATAATAGATTATTTAGAATTATAATAATATTAAATAACTTAAGGGCTAAGAGATTATTCTAAATTAGAATAATTTAATAAGACCTAAAGGTATATTTAGAAAATAGACTATATATAGGATAAACTTAAGCCTACTTAAGGTTAGACTCTTATAGCGTTTTAATAACTAGCTTTATAATTACTCTTATTAATACTTTTAGCTATCCTAAGTAAATAATACTCTTATAACTCTTATTAAAGCCTTAACTAATTATTAAGTCTTTTAAAGATTTATAAATTATTTACTTACTAAAATCTTAAACTATTTATATATTTAACTCCTAGCTTATTATTAATATAAAACCTATTATTAGTTAGCTAGCTATAATACTTTAATTATTTCTAGTTACTTTTAAAAGACTATTTAATAGTATTATAGATAAAATATCTTTATATACTTTTAATAAGATACTTACTTTAAGCTCTTTTAATAAATCTAATAGCTTTAGCTAATAACCTATTAATAATCTTCCTTTAAAGCTAAATAAACCTAAAATAAAGAAGAAGAATAATAATAATATAATTAACATAGTTAATAAGTAAGCTGCCTAGATAAGTAAGCTACCTAGATAAGCAAGCTGCCCACCTTAATAAATTCCTCTAGTATACCTTAACAATTTCATACTAAATTTCAGCATACAGCACACTAAGATTTTATTAAGGTGTGCAGCTTACTTATCTAGGCATCTTACTTATTAACTATATTATACTAACTTATAATAATATTAAGAGAATTTAATAAGGCTTTATAAAAACTATTAAACTTAAGAATAATATAAAAAAGCTTTAAAATCTTTATAACTAACTTAATATCTAGCTTAAGAATAGAAATATAAATAATAAAGTATTATAATATGAAATTAATACTTTTTAAGCTATTAGAAATATTATTATTATTCTTATTATAAAGAAATAAGAAAAGCTTAAGCTTAACTCTTTTATTTTATTTAATAAATCTTTAGAATAACTTAAGGGATTTCTTATTAAAGTTAAAAACTATTAAAACTATTATTATAATATTTTTTAAAATAAACTAAGAAACTTATTATATATTTATCTTCCTTAAAGAATAAGCCTTTTAATAGTTTTAATTCTTTCTTAAAGAATACCTTAATAGAAAGATACTTAATAAATACTTTATTAAAGTTAGGGATATCTTTAGTAGATTTAAAGGCTTTAAAGCTATCTTAAAGTCTTTATTCTAAAATACCAATAAGTATTCTAAAATACTAATAAGAAATAATAAGCTAAATAAGATTTATTTTACTTTAAGTAAACTAAATTAGCTAAAACCTATATTATAGAGTTTAAATAAATCTATACTTAATTAGACTTAACTAATAAAGATAAGATCTTTATATTCTATTTAAACTATTATTATATTTACCTAACTAAACCCTAATATCTATTAGTTCTATAGCCTAAATAGCTAGTTAATACTAATTAAAGTTATATACCTATATA